TAAAAATCGAGGGCAGAGAGGCGGGTGCAGAACCATGTAGAAGGAAGGGCACGTTCAGAAGACAGCACCCTAATGAGACACAGCCCCCCCCCAGACCCCTGGGCGCTCAGCACCTGCCCGGCCTGGGCCCCGTCCCTGGAGCTCTGGTTTCAGGAGGAGGTGCAGAGCTGGGGAGCCGCAGAGGGATGAAAGATTTGCTTTCTCCCTGGCCTAGATTCCAGACTCCTCTGTTACAGCCGGAATGCCGTGCGCGCCGGCAGGCAAGCTCACCCTTTTTTTCTTTTTGAAGAAGTAAAAATAAATCCAGGGAAATGGGGGAATCCAAAAATAGGCCTCAGTCATCTAATCAGAAAGAAATCCCACCAGCCTGGCAGAGTTCATCTCTGTGCAGTTTGCTTACAATGTTAAAAAAAAAAAAGGTCCTTTTATTTTACGTTTTTCATTATTTGGGAAGACCCCCTTCTAACGCTTTAAAAAGAGATCACATTTTATGTGTCTGAGCTCTTTTAAAAATCACCCCATATTATCTGAGGGGGGAAAAAGCAGCTGGAGGCTTTTTCTGCAAAAAGGGGTTTAATTTTATACTCCAGGCAGCAGCAACAGCAGTGACAAAAGTAACCACCTCTAGATGAAGAAAAAAGAAAAATTATAAACCAAGTTTTCGACAGTGATCAGAAATACATGTTAAATTTGTCGCCCTATTCCTTAGCGGCAAAAGAGCCTTTCAGCATTCCAGGTCGTTTTTAACGTGTTCTTCTCATTAAAAAGGTAGTTTCATGCATTCTTTATGGCAACTTTTCCTTTGTATTTGTCTTCCAAGTTCTATTCCTACTGGATGATAGTTTGGGCTTGGATTATAGTGTGTGTGCTCAGTAAACACAGGATGCTGGAGGTAGCATCCGTCCATCTCCCCGGTGACGACAAGAACTGGAGCCTGGGTGACACCGGCACTTGCTGCTCTCCGAGCATCTTACTCCTTACACGTGCTGACCCTTCACGGCAAACCCACAGGAGGAGGCAGCATCCTTAGCGTCCCCCCACCATTCCAGGTGAGGAAGCTGAAGGCAGAGCTTAGGAACCTCCCCCCAAGTCACAGAGCTGGGGAGGGGCAGGGCGAGGATGCCCCTGGAGGGCTCCCAGCCAGCCAGGACACGCACCACGGAGACCCTGCTTCCTCCTCTGTGACAAAAGGGAGCTCTTCCCTCCTGCTTCCTCCTTTCTCCAGTCTGCACTCCACGAGGAAGGCAAAACGGCTCTGTGCGGGAGTCCTCCACCACCACGCCCGTGTGCGTCGGGTGTGTCTGGTGGAACGCGCTCTTTTTGAAGTCCGTTATGCCCGCCGTACAGACATCCGTAGCTGGTTCCCCAGGTGAAGCTCACCTCTGGTGGCTGTCGCCCTGCCCTGGATGGTAAGCTCCATGGGGGGAGTGGGGGGGTCCTGCACGCAGCTCCCCTCGCACCCGCCACATCCCTGGCACTTGAGCAGGGAACTTGAGCACCTCCAGACAACCTCGCAGGTACTCGGTTTTGCTCGAGGAATGGGTGACAGGCTCAAGCGCGTTGCCAAGTGCGTCAGCCCCGGCTGGGCCTGGGACGCTGCCACATGCAGCCGTGTTCCGGCGGTGGGGCCGGGCCCAAGCCCGTGCCGCGGAACAGCATCGGCCGTGGGGTGCTCTGGGCCTCGAGCAAAGCCCGGAGGGGGAGCAGGCTGGTGGCGGCCCCTGAAACCAAGGGTGGGAGGAGACCGTGCAATGTGCTCGACAGGGGCCAGCCGCGGGCGTGTTTGATGGGGCACAACGTTTCGCAGATCGGGCCTCGAGTTCATAATTTTCTCTTTTATGTTCTTTTTCTTCATTCGGCATTTAAAATCCACGGGCACTCGCTCACCCTTGTTTCGGGGACGTGTTTATTACTCGAAACCTCCTGGTAGACGGGGTGTTACTTCTCTCTCCAGCACAGAAAGCTTTCCAGTCGGGGCTTGGCCTCCTTATTGCCTTAAACTCCCTTCAAAGTCAATATGAGGAGCCAGATCAGCATCAGTTGATCAACTTGCCTCCCTTATTGAACTTGTACTTGATGTATGAGATGTATGTATGAGATGCATGTATGTATTGATGTATGTATGAGATGTATGATGTATGTATGAGATGTATGATGTATGTATGAGATGTATGATGTATGTATGAGATGTATGTATGTATTGATTTGATGTGTGAGATTTGATGTATGAGATCTCTCCGGATGAACGGTAACAACCTGTCTTATTAGAGATGAGCTTCCTCTACTGTTGTCAGACGGCTTTCCGGCTCCTGTGCTCAGACACCTGCTTTTCCATCGGCTCCGGAGACCAGACTCCGAGGCTCCCGGCAAAGGGCATGAGGAGGAGCCTCTGTTTGCCTCAGAGGTGCCCAGAGTGCGGCTGCTTTGATGTCTATGTCCCCGGATGTGCAAGCCGGCTCCCCGACGTCCCTGCAGCCGGGGACCCGTGGGGGCAGAGTCGTGCTGCCACAAGCAGCCGAGAAACAGGGACGTTGTCCTGGCCAACCACTCCGGGACCAGCGTCGACTGCAGTCGACAGCCACAGATGAACGCGCACAGCGACTGTAGCCGACAGCCGTGGTGTGACTCTTCTCATTTTTCATTTATCAGAATAAAATTGTGAACATTTAAACATAACGTAATGAAGACATATATGTACGTGTTACCTGCTCTGATATTTACATGACAAGTAAAGCTGCCTGTAAAGTAAAACAAGCTTTCGGTGCTTTCAAGCTTTCCTCATCACACAAGAGCAGAACGGACCCGTCGTCCATGCACAGCAGACTGTCGCGTGGACTGTGAGTGCGGGCTGTGGGCGAGGTGTCGCGGCCGGTGAGCGCCGCACCGAAGTGGTTAAACAAATGAGCCGCAGCATCACCTGTGCGCACTCGTAGCGCGTCTTTCAAGGGGCTTCTCTGGCCACTTCATCTTGACATCCAACCAACAAGTAAATAAATTAATAAGCAAGGGAGCCGTCTCAGACACATCATGAAGAAAACACCCAACACGGAGACGGGCAGAGATGCTGGCCGGGGCGGGAGGGAGCTGTTTTCGCCGGAGTCCTTGGGGGTGGCCTCCAAGGGCCTGTGCCAGTGGCTGAGCGGAAACACGAGCAGAGAGACGGAGCCAAGACAGAGATAAGAACGGGTTTTCCCAGCAGGGAGAGCCCCCCCTGAAGTCCCAAGGCAGAACGGCCCGGGGTGCTCCAGGAACAGAGAGTGTGTTGGTGTCTCCTGGGAAGGAGAACCCGACTGGGGCCCGGTGGGAGGGGGCGAGTTCACAGACAGAAGCTGCCGCACCTGCTGGCTCCCAGGGGTCCGGCGAGCAGGGTGGGGTTCCCTCCCAGGAGATGGGGAGCTATGAGGTTTGTGAGTGAGGGCGGGTGCGGCATCCTTCAGGTCTTACAAAGAACATGCTGGAGGAAGCGCCTCGGCAGGGAGCGTGTTGATGTGGTGGGCGTGTTTGACCTGACTCGGAAAGGAGACGTTCGATGCTTTCCCGTGCGACTCCATCAGGGCAGGTGAACACACACGGCCACGTCCGGAGACGCCGCCCCAGCCCACCCCCACGTGGAGGCGAAGTCCCGGAAGAGCTGCTGCGTGGCCTCAAGGCCAGCACTGCAAATCAAGTGTGAGCTACCGTGTTTCCCTGAAAATAAGACAGGGTCTTCTATTTACTTTTCCTCAAGAAGACACCCTAGGGCTTATTTGCATGGGATGTGTTATTTTTTTTAGGTACAGTACAATCATCTACATTGATTCAAGTAGAGTTAAGTTGTCTTCTTCTGGAACATCATCATCACTCTCCAAACCCCGAATTCCATCCTGGACTTCTTGCAACTCTATTTCCTTTAGAACCATCGGCCCCGATCTCTCGTGTCGAGCCATAGAGCTCTCACGGGGCAGATGAGAAGGGCTGCTCGTCTCCTTTCCGGCTCCGCGACGACATGCACGGGTCGTGCAGATGCGCTGCGCAGCCACGCCCGTCACTAGGGCTTATTTTCGGGGTGGGGCTTCTATTGCGCACATGCTTAGAAATCCTTCTAGGGCTTATTTCATGAGTAGGTCTTATTTTCGGGGAAACACGGTACTCACCAGCGTGGCAGAGGAAATGCATAAAATGCCTAAATGGTTCTATTGGGATTTTAGTGATCAAATATCATCATCTGTGTATTTTCCGCACTATGGCGGGAACACTTCATAGCTAGCCTATTTCCCCTCCTGCTCCCGTTCAGATTTTGCTCTTAGAATAAATTCACACCCGACCTCTAGGTCCTGTGGCACTTTTCCTTACAAGCCATGTTTACCGAAGGTTTACGACTTGGCTGTAAAAAAGCAATTGGCACCGAAACTGGAAACTTGGCATGAGCGATTTGGCATAAACATTGCCCGGAAGCAGTTTTTCTATCTAAATCTGGGAAAAACAGGCTAGGTCATTTTCAAGTTATTTGTGTTATTCATGCATAAATAAAATGAAGCCTGACAGCTTCAAACGGTGTTTGCTTTCGCACTCTTCAAAAATAGATGCGGTCCAAGAAAAGTAACATTTGGTAAACAAATACTCCATGACGGACTGTAAAAAAAAAAGGGGGGGTGGTGGAAAAAAAGTGCAGTGCAGTGCATTAAATAGAAAGGGAAGACGGAAGTGTTTCAAAAGTCTCTTTGTGTCAGAAAATAGGAGTTGGGAAAGGTATTATTAGATGATTATGTGGGTTCTGGAGGCAAATTTAGAGATTCCCACGGACTCCAAATTAAAAGTGAAAACAAGCAAAAAGCAGGCTTTCAAATAAAATAAAATTTTATTGAGACCTGAGTCACACTTCATCCAAGCACACAAGGTAACCAAATATGTGCTATTCAGACAAGAAAGAACCAAATGATTTCAAAATATGTTTTTGAAGAACAGTGGGCTATAAAAAAAAAAAAAAGGTAAAATATCAGGAGAAGAAGGAAAGAAAACATGAGTGATAAATTGAAACATGTTGATTTAGAAAAAAAATATCAAATGTCAATGTTCGAAGCTCCTTCCCCCTCCTCTAAGTGTTGAATTAAGTTTGGAACTGCGATTTGTGGGTCTGAAGAACTCCAGCAGCCGGCAGCAGGTCTCTAAAGAGGGAAAGAGAGATGGTGCGGACCCACCGCTCCCCAGAGAACACCTTCCTGGCGAATTTAAAAGTCAGTCTTGACGTCAAGTGACTCTTGACAGGACTCCGCGTTGAGTTTTGTGAAGCGTGGGCAGATCTGGACTTTCGCTCTTGCCACTCTATCAGGGGATGACTAAAGAGACTGGGGCAAAATAAAGCCAAGCCAATTCAAACAGAAAGTAAAAATAAGTCAGAAAGGAAAGAAAGTTGAAGCATGTGCGGCCAGCAAGCCCGCGGGGACAGCGTTCTGTAACAAGGGCTCTCGACAGAGGAAGGGATTTTTAGCAGCGGTTGTTGCTCACATCATATGTAGCTAAATCCCTATGGCTGTTCCTGGCAACAATGATCTTGTCTTCTAATCAGAAAGTGTCTTTGGCCAAACTGCGGGCAGAGGAGGGACAGAACTCTAGGACTGGATGGCGGAAGAATTTTCCACCTGGGGATTTCATCTGAATGGCACAGTTTGGCCATTATCGGGCCCTTAAGAGCAGCGTGGTTTAGTTGGTCCCAGGCGGTAACTCCAGCTAAAAGGACTCCTGGGACGCACCTCAAAGCTATTAGACCCTGGAACAAGCCATGTTGCTTTCTCCCTGTGTTTGCAACTTTAGAGGAAGTGTATGAGATCATTTGTTTACCCCGATATCAAGATTGTTCCCATAGCAACGCCGTTTGTATTTAGGATTCCAACTTGTCACTCGACTTGTAGATAAGTTTTTGCACCTGGAGAGAGCTCATCTTCCTCGTTGGGCCCTGTGAATAAACACACGGGATGTTCCCATTGAGATTATTCTTGACATGTGAAGAAGTTAGAGACCTAGGGAGCCTTATCCGGACCCCAAAGGCAGGGGACAAATCAACTCCACAATTAAAAGGCCTCACAGAAACTGGATCCGGAGATCCTAAGTATTTTCTCAGAATTTGCGATTATTTCCAGCTATATTCTTTCAAGGTGCACAGTGAGCATAATCTGACTAGTTCCATAAATTCCTCGAGGGCCTGGGGTACATTTTATTTCTGGATTCTCAATTCCTTGCATGATGCCTGATGTTTACCAGAGCTGCGATGAACATCTGCTTGCCGGGCACTGTGGCTCACACCTGTAATGCTAACACTCTGGTAGGCCAAGGTGGGAGGATCACTTGAGCTCAGGAGTTCAAGACCAGCCTGAGCAAAAGTGAGACCCCCGTCTCTACTAAAAATAGGAAAATCAGCTGGGCATGATGGTGAGGCTCTGTAGTCCCAGCTACTCAGGAGGCTGAGGCAGGAGGATCGAGTGAGAACAGGAGTTTGAGGTGAGCTAATGGCCACACCATTGCACTCTAGCCTGGGTGACAGAGGGAGATGAGTGAGACTCTGTTTCAAAATAAGAAAAACCAAAACCTGCTGAATGAATGAACAGTCAGTGCAGATTGTTGCTATAATATCCATCCGTGTTCCTGTCTGTGAACAGAAAGGGGTGTTCTGGTTTCTTTGTTTTCTTGAAGAAGCTTTCATAGATTCGCCTTTTGCTTTTAAAAAATTTTTAATTATTATGGATACATAATACTTGTACATATTTATCGGGCACATGTTCTTCCTCGGTTTGTTTTTGTTGTTGTTGTTGTTGTTGTTGTTTTTAACCTACCAGGGAGAAATGTTTGAAGGCTAAAAAAAAAAAGAAAAAATTGCATCAATCAGCATAAATGGATTAGCTGTTTTAAATGCCATGTGCTTGTTCTCTCTGTATGAGGCTGTTTGGAGACACTTCTAGAACAGGATGCTCTTCAGCTGAACAACCCAAACCTGCAGGAGCCAGTAACAACTGGAGAAGTAGCTGCCTACAGACCTCAGGTTTTGGGGGGCTAATGGGCAGTTCAATGCTTCCTGATGGACACTTAGGGGAAGTGAGCGTTGGGGTGCACTCACAGCTAGTAATCGAATTCCACCTCTTAGTGTACAACTCACAACTGGGGAAAACACGCACAACATCTTAAATCCAACCCAGAGAAAGTAACGCCCAACAAAATCTCCCAGCCAGATAAGATCTGGGACCTTTTTAATGAAGACGGCCCTTACAGGGGTGGGGAAGGACGTCTGTGAAAATGGCGTGTTGCACCCCAACTTGACACTTTCCTCCCCAGAGGTGTGGAGCCTGCGGTGACTGGCCACTTTGCCGTGGGCCGACTGTGTGCATTTTTTGGTATTGGAGTCTGGAGTATAGGAACCACTCAGTGTGACAGAGACTTGGGCTGGCCCGGGGTCCGTGTCCCAGAGGGACTTTGCCACCCTGCTCTTTGGCGTTTCCCCGGTGCCCCGTGCACATCTGGGGAAATGAAAGAGAAAGCGGACTGCTGCAGGGCTGATTCCTGGAACTGAAATGAGGACGCAGAGGAGAAGTAGTACTGCGGAAAGCGCCTAGGTTTCAGAATCAGAGGGACCTGGGGCTCGTTTTCTGCTACTGTACTTGCAATATTTGTGACTCTTCATCAGTTGCTCAACCATCCAAGCCCCGAGAACCCCAACCATACAAGGAGGCTGTTCATACCTACTTCTGGACAGGCCTGGGCCATGCCTGGGCCTAAAGGACATTATTGGGGGTCTGCTCTTCCCTCTCAACGCAGCGGCTCTTTCAGCCAGTCCGGTGACTCTGACCTGAGTCCTGCTTGGGCTGCACCGGCTGCTCCCAGCCCCTCCCTTGTGTCTCACTGCCTGACCAGCCGTTCCCTGCAGTACCCTGGGACGTCTGCCTGCTTCCCGCCCTGCAGCCTCTTCCTAACACTCTCAAAATAAAGGAGGCAGTAAACACCCAAGCGTAGCCTGAGCCCTGCCGGGTCCTGACCTCCCCGTGCCCTCTCCCCTCTGCCCATCCCTGGAGCACACCACCACCATTGGCATCCTTGGGCCCAGGGCCGGGTTCCCGCCGTTTCTCTCACCCCAGACCGTCCCTGCCTGCTGCTTCCCCAAGTCGAATTCTCACGTAAAACCTCGCCTCTTTGGCCAGTCTCGGCTTTTCAAACCAGAAAGCAGCCCACCCAACAGCAGCCGGCGAACGGCCACGCGGAGACGCAGACACAGGCCCGAGACTCCCCGTGGAAAGGAAGGCCGTGGTGGGGCAGGGGGGTGACGCACATTTACTGAGCGCCTGCTGTATGCAGATGACGCGTAGATTGGAAAACAACCCCACAAGGCGGGCGTTGTGTCGTTAGGTTCGTCTGTGCGGGTGTCCCCCGGCCCCCGGGTCCCCAGTGCCCACGGTGAGCACTGGCACCGTGGACCCCACGACGGCGATCACAGGCACAGAGCAACTTCATACGAGCAGTTCGTCACATACAAGAAAGAATGAAAGTGCACACGGAAGCTGCGCAAAGTGAAAACACGTTCCAGAGAGAAGCGGACAGGTCAGTCCCCACGAGCGGAGAAAGACGCTGGAGTCTGAGCACAGCTGCCTTTTATACACTCACCGGCTTGTCCCGCCTCTTCCCTGGCAGGATTGGTAGCCGTTTCCCATCGTTGCAGTGATTGACAGGTGATATAACGGATCACATGACCGGTTTCCCTTCCTGCGCATGCGTCTTTCCCAGAATCCTTCATGAAGGTTCCACCATGTTATGCTAATTAGACGGTAAAGGTTAAAGGTTACGGGGAACTTTTTACTATTTATGTTCCCACCAGGGAACAGTTCCTAGCCGTAATTTGGTTCCTAGCTGCAATTCGTTTCCGCTCTCCACGCTTAGCGACTTCCTTGCCACCTATTTCCCCTCCACCAGACCTAACATTATCATTATCCCTACTTTTACAGGTGAGGAAACCGGGACTCACCTGGGCCAGGGTCACAGTGCCCGGAAGCAGTGGCGTCTGAATACGTCCACTTTCCACATTGCCCATCCTGATGGCAGACGTCCCCAGAACCCGGCCTGGTCCCTCAGGACAGAGAGAGAGGAACCGGCATGTCATTTAGGAGTCTCCATGGCTGAACCCGATCCCTCTGTCTTAGTATGTTTTCTGTTGCTTATAACAGAATACCTGAAACTGGGTGATTTATAAGAAATGGAATTTGTTTCTTGCAGTTGTGGAGGCTGGGAGGTGCAAGGTACAGGGGCCCCGTCTGTGAGGGTCTTCGTGCTGGTGGGGACCCTCTGCAGGGTCCCAGGGCCCTGAGGTGATGCAGGGCATCATCACATGGGGCTAAGCCTGCTACTCAGGTCTCTCCTCCTTTCCTTATAAAGCCACCATTTTCCCTCCCATGGTCACCTATTCATTACCTGGGCAGACTTCTCAGGAGCCTGTCACCTCTTAAAGGCCCACCCCTCAGGACTGCCGTGTCAAGGACCAGTTTCAGCAGGACTTTGGAGAGGACAAACATTCAGACCACAGCACATCCCTGCCTCTCCTCCCACCAGGCCACTCCTCAGCACCGAGTCAGCCTCGTAGTTCATGCCTCATTTTGTTCAGGCTGTTCCCTTTGGGCACTGATGCCATTCCCTCCCTGGTATAAACACTGAGATGCTACTGAACCTTCAGGGCTCGTGCCAGATGCCATGGCTTCAAGAGATTCTTTCCTCCCTTGGAATGGGGATCTTCCTTTGGCCACCACGGCATTTCGCTAGCACACTGACTCTAGCACTTGTGTTGCCATTGGTGTTCTCAGGCACCCTCGTTGCTGCAGGCCTCCCAGCATGTGGCCAGGCTCCAGGCATCTGGGAGATAACATCCCATCTCCCAGAGGCGCTCTCCACCCCTACCGCCCTAAGACTTCCCTTCTGCCACTGCTCCCTCCTGCACCTGACCCAGGTACGCAGGTCTCACTCGTTCCATTCCTTGTAGCGCCCGGTGTGGCGTTTCGTGCACAGTTGTGTTCAAGGTTAAGTTAGCGAGAAAGTACGAAGTGACGAGTGGGGGAAGCTCGTTCTCTCCCGGACACAGCAGATTTGTCTTTGTAGCCCCACCAGGAAGTATGTTTGTAAGACAATTTAAACCTGAATTAATCAATTGTAAGTCGTAGTTTATATAGTGCTTTCTGCATAGATCAAATCGAATCGGTCTTGTTTTCTTACTCTAGCAGGGCACAGTTGTTACGAGTATTCGGAACCCTCAGGAGAGGCAAGTCCCCTTAAAGACATATATATGCACGTACATGATTTAAGAAATATACCTTCTACTCTGCCCGTCTCAGCTCCCTCCTGCCCAGCAAGGTGACACACTACCAGGCAGTCCCTGTAAAGAAAGAAGAAAGGTGTCTATATTTACTTGGGAACCTACAGGCTATAAGAAAACCCTTTATTTTGACGGTTCATAAGACATTTGCCATATTTACGATGCGTGTTTGCTACGTTCCTGCAGTTATTCTTCCCTGTGTTTAGAGAAACATCCTTCATAATTGCCATGGTGTATCTGCGTGTCATCCAGAGCTCCGCGTAGACTGACGGCAAAGTCAGTGGATGGGTAAATTGCATTCATATATTGTAGATGTCATTGTGATATATCTTTTCAATATGTATAGTGATACATAAGGTACATATGGAATCTACTCACAGTCAAGTTGACAGTCTATCATGGGGATAAGTTAAGTATTAAAAGATATAAATATGTATTTAGTCATCTTTTCTTTTGCTGTTGTGTACCTCGGTAGTCTTAGAATTTTCTTACATAATAACTGCTTTAGTCCTAAGCATTGATAGGAGCTTTATATATTTTTGTCTACATGTTTCTTTTATTTTTCTGCATTATAAACTCATTTAAAAAGCACAAAGAGGCCAGGCGCAGTGGCTCACGCCTGTAATCCTAGCTCTCTGGGAGGCTGAGGCAGGCGGATCGTTTGAGCTCAGGAGTTCGAAACCAACCTGAGCAACCTGAGCAAGAGCGAGACCCTGTCTCTAAATAGAAAGAAATTAATTGGCCAACTAATATATATAGAAAAAAATTAGCCAGGCATGGTGGTGCATGCCTGTAGTCCCAGCTACTCGGGGAGGCTGAGGCAGAAGGATCGCTTGAGCCCAGGAGTTTGAGGTTGCTGTGAGCTAGGCTGACACCATGGCACTCACTCTAGCCTGGGCAAAAAAGTGAGACTCTGTCTCAAAAAAATAAAAAAATAAAAAGCACAAAGAAATCAGGGCTAAAGCAAGACAAAACTTCCTCTGTTAAATTGCAAATGAATGCGGGATGGGAACCCAGACCGAAGGGCACCTTCCCCAGCTCTGATGTGGGTGGCTGAGGGAGCTGTAGGAAGGTGGGCTGTTACAATCAGTTGTTACTAAACCAAATACTATATTGTGTGTGTGTGTATGAGCAAGTGTGCACATGCACAATGACATATGCGTTTATTTTTCCAGAAAGATAATCAAGAAAATTTAAACAGTTCATTTAATAGGGAAAAGAGTGTATCTTCTAGCTGTCTATTCTGTTTAAATGTTCTAGGTAAAGGTCACTTATTTTTAATTACGAAAAAAATGTCAGCAGAAATTATCTTGGTGCAATCTAAAACCACTTTTCTTTTTCTTTGTACATACCTACATTTAAAAAAAAAAACTATAAGTTATTTTAAAATAACTACGTTGTGGCCTATTTTGGATTTTGATCACTAGGCAAATGTATAAATGCAGAGAGTTTACTTTGATCTTGCATATCCTCTGCATGCAAGTTTCTGAAAGTTTAAACCAGCTTTTTTTTTTAACACCTTTCCTACACTTTCTAGATTGGCATCATTATTTCCACTAACTTGTGAAATTTCCACTGCCATATGAAAGAGAGACTTCCTTTGCAGACGGTCCACACTGGAGGTATGTGGCCTTGATTCTCCCCCAGGCTGAGGCCGTGGCAAGACCACGACAGGCTCTTAGCGGGGGGTGCAACTGAGTCAGTCCCGCTGCTTCCAGGAATCACAGGGGCACCAGAATCACTTCCTTGGGTTGCTGCCACCTTAATCACCCGGTGGTTTCTTGGTTTGTGTTCTCAATGCACGAAAGCTTATAATCATTTTTATGATCACCTCCAACTTTACAAACGCATGCAGAGAAACACGAGCTGAGCACGCCGCTGGGTCGGCCAACTGTATAGCTTTTCCAGGTGACTTTTGTTTTCACCCACGAGAATTTTTAAAAGCAAAGACAGGGAGATGCTTACCTAGAGAAGAAGGGCTTGTTGATGTGCTTTCAGGGGCTTGATGAGGAATTAATCACGTTGAGAAATACTTGCCCACTGGGCACCTTATTTGTGCTCCCAGCACTGGAAAAATCAGAATTTCCTTCTGGTTCCAATGCCAAGAACATCACATGTCACATTGAGTCCTTTCTCAAAAGGAAGGCTCACACGTGGGAATAATTTAGGATTCTGCAGTGGAGAGATGGTTGGGAGGTTAGCTGTTTCGGCAACCTGTTACTTCATTGAAAAAGACAATATGTTGCCTGAGACGATGATGGCAACGTATTCATATTTTTCACGCCATCTACTGAAGTTTGCAACAACGGTGCTTTAGAGATTTTAAATCTGGAGATCTCTTTCTCTGTTAAAAGGAAGGTAAGTGGCCCTGTCTCATTACCAAAAATACAAAGTGAGGTTATGCCCACTGCCTTTCCCTCTTAACAGCAGGGGTCCTGCCCACCTGCTGAGTGCTTGGGTTAAAATTAAAGAATCCATGAGAAATGCACAGAACTGTTAGGTGGCTACTAGTTCTGTGTCGACTGCAAAGAACAATAGCGGTAATAACTGTCTCTTGCTGGTATAATCTGCAATTCGAAGGAGCTTGGGAGAAAAGACAGGTGTGCCCTTCACAAGTGGGAATTACCAAGGAAAAAGGAGAACCACTGGCTGTTTTCGTAAAGGATCAATAGCAATCACACAAACTGCCTCTTATCCATTGATCACTCCTTAATTCCATCATAAAGAAAATGAATACCCTATTTTTTGAAATGCCTTTGAGTTCTCATAGGGGTCTTCTAATTAAATCATTAAGCAGTTTGATTGAAATACCAGAAACACATTGCTTTGGCAAGAAGTCAATGGGCATTTGTATAACATTAATTTTTTTTTTTAATCGGACTGATACTCTGGGTAATCTTCTTTTTAAACAAAAACAGCAGGCGAGAGCTCTGCTTTTATGAGATGATACCAACATATTGGCTTCCGGTCTCGGGTGGTGTTGATCCACAACTCCCAGAACGTTAGGTACCTGGTTCAAGGGCTCACCATCCACACACAGAGACCGGTGGGGGTTGCTCGGAGAAAGGAAAATTTCCAACCTATCCACAGCAGATCCTTGTCTAGAGAAACAGCAGAAGAGAGTACCAATTTGGAGGCTTCTGGGAAACATCCTTTGGGTGGGGAGGGGTTTGTAAATGAAGCTGGAAGACCTCTCCTAAGATAGCAGATGAAACAGGGACGTGATGGGCCAGACCGGAGCATCTGTCTTATGTTAGTGGCAGGAAGGAAGATCTTACCTAGATAAGAGGGAAAGAAAGAAAGGAATAAATATTTGGCAGTGCTATTTAAAAATAAAATATAAGGGGATTAGAGGCAGATTTCCTGGATGAATTCACTTGATTCATTTTTTGTCCGTCAAGGTGCAATCCAATCACCCCTAGGAAATAATTTGGTACAGGTTACTACAGATATGACTCAAATGCTACCGGGGAAAGATGGATTTGGGGAGAGAGACGTGTGTGTGTGTGTGTGTGTGTGTCAGATTGCTGATGAATCCGGTGGACTGGACAACCCAGGGAGAAAGGAAGAAGACAGCTTACGAGGATGGATTTGGGGAGAGAGACGTGTGTGTGTGTGTGTGTGTGTGTGTGTGTGTGTGTGTGTGTGTCAGATTGCTGATGAATCCGGTGGACTGGACAACCCAGGGAGAAAGGAGGAAGACAGCTTACGAGGATCACATTCATTGTGACCTCAAATGACATTTTTGAAATGTTAGTCTCAAATATTAGTAACGTTTTTGAAATGTTTTAGGGACCTCGCGATTAAGATAAAGTAAAACACTGCTAAATGCCATCCTGTCTCGGTGAGTGTAAGGTTTGTTCTATAAACAAGGTCGATCGCCGTGTGTTCCGAGTTCTGGAATTCCAGCACTCAGAGATCACAGCAACCAGTGGGGTTTGCTTGTAGGTAAATTGAAGCGCTCGACCAGCTTGCTGTCTTCTGATTATGCCAGTTCGCCTATTATAACACGCTACTTCTTTTTAACGTCGTGTACGGTGTATAGACTCTTGCAGATGCAGGTCTTAAAGAAGTGTGAGAAGTATATGATTTATGGGAAGCCTTTCAAAAGAGAAAACTTAATAGCACTTTAGATTTATAAACATTTTCCTTTTATTCTAATACTTTTAGCAGTGGAGAACTGAGTTATGGATCATTTTCCCACGTAGGTATACAGATGGAGGTGGCAACATCTATTTAGAAAGTCCCTGTGTTGCATTTATGCAGGACAGGGGAGCAGAGTTACCACATACAAATGCCATTTGCATGTGCTGTGCATAGCCCGCTCACATCCTGATAATAGCAGAGTGTCTGAAGCTTAGGTGTATTCTTGGAGTGACCCAATTCACTCAATCACTTCCCAGATACAATGAGAGGCCACTGAAGGTTCCGGGACCCTGGCGGATTTGAAGCCTTTGTCCTTATTTCAGGATATCTTTGTTCCAGTAACAATAGGTGACATCCCACATAATACAGTGCCATTTGTACAACTGCCTGCTGAAACTTCCTGTTTAAAATGAGGCAGAGGGATGTCTGAAAAGCCCGGATAGGTTACTGAGAAAGGAATCCACACAATGCTGGGATTTCCAGGATCTTCTCTTGTTGAAAATGAAACCAAATGTGTGGAAGTCAAAGGAAATGACAATATTCCAAAGGGACAGCCAACATCGTTAGGACTGAGTGTACACATCTGGGAACCAACCAAAACTCCTTAAGAAGACAGGCTCGCCTTCTACCTCACGTGGTTTGCATAGCTCACAAGGCATCCTGCATATTTCCTGAGATTTGAAGTGAGGCATTGAATTGGTCCTTTTCCAAACACTACCATTTATGAAAATAAAAAAGAGGTTTTTCTCAAATTCTTGAAAATGTGTTTTTGTAATTTAATTTACTTTTGGTGTTTAAAACTTGTCAAAGAAAACAAAACAATATATCTCTTTAACAAAATATCAGTGAAAAACAAAGTTGGAGGCGTCACACTTTGTGGTTTAAAGTTATATCATAAAGCTATATTGTAATTGAAACACTATGGTCCTGGCATAAAGGCAGAAACATAGACCAATAGTGCAGAGAAGAAAGCCCACAAATAAATCCATATGAATATGGTTAACTAATTTTCTACAATGGCACTAAGAGGACAAATGGGGAAAGGACAGTCTCTTCAATACATAGTGCTGGAAAAACTGGGTCCCCAATTGCCAAAGAATGAAATTATATCATTATGTTACACCATGCACAAAATCAACTCAGATAAAATGCCTAAATATAAGACCTGACATCATAACACTTCTAGAAGAGAATACAGGAAAAAAATCTCCTTGGCGTTGGCCTTGGCAGTGGTTTTTGAATATCCCATGAAAGCTTAGACTACAGAAGCAAAAATAAACACCTGGGACTATTAATACATTAAACTAAAAAGTGTCTGCACAGCAAATGAAACCATCAACAAAATGAAAAGGCAACCTATAGGCTGGAAAAAAATAATTGCCAACCATATATCTGATATGGAATTTAATAACCAAAGTTTATAAAGAATTCCTACAATGCAATAGAAGAAAAACAAATAACCCAATTAAAAAGTGGGTAAAAGACCTGAACCAACATTCCTCCAAAAAAGACCTAAGAGTGGCCAACAGGTGTATGAAAAGGTGCTCAACATCGCTAATCATCCGGGAAATGCAAGTCAAAACACTACAAGGTGTAAACTCATGCCCATAAGGATAGTTATTATCAGAAAAAGACAAGAGATAACAAATATTGGTGAGGGTGTGGAAAAGAAACGAACCCTAGTTCACTTTTGGTGGAAGTGTAGATTGGTACAGCCACTATGGAAAAAAGAGCATGGAGGTGCCTGAAGAATTTAAGAATAGAACTACCTTATGATGAGCCGAGCGACCCCTCTTTGGGGTCTATACCCAAAGAAGATGAAATCACCACCTTGTGAAGATGTCGGTATTCCCTCATTGACTGTAGCACTGTTCACTATAGACAAGAATGAAATCAACCTAGGCGTCCGCTGATGGACAAATGGATAAAGAAAACGTGGTATGAATACAGTGGAATATTATTCAGCCTTAAAAAAGAAGGAGACCTTTCCATTTGCCACATCAGGGGTGACTTGAAGGGCTTTCTGTTCAGTGCAGTAAGCCGGACCCTGAATTTGCACAGCAGATAATGCCCCACCCACCACCGAGGAGCAGCAGAGACAGTCCCCACGCCAGCTCTGTTTAGAATCGTGGGTGTAAGCGACAGCACCCGAACATCTGAGTGTCTGCAACAGAGTTTTCAAACGGACCAACGTCCCTGAGGCTGGCGACGTGTACTACAGTGGTGTTTGTCTCCCACGTGGGTCTCCGTTTACACGGAAAGCAAATAAGCGTCATTTGTGGCTTGTTGATGCACTACCAAGAAGTGAAAAAAATTTATTTGGCAACTTTTTTTTTTTTTTTAAGGAAATAACACAGTTGGGATGAGAGCCCCAAGAGCACCACAAAGCCACGAAACGCACTCCCTTATTTTCTAATAAGACTGTGGACTGCTTGTGGGACAGACGCTGCCGCTGGCCACGTGTGCGGTATCATTGGTCATTCTCCCGCCAGTCCCAGGAGGGAGTAGCCTACGTTATCCCGGTAGAGCAAATGAGAAAACTGAGGCTGCAGAGACGTCGGGGACCTTGCCCCAAACCACTCAGCTCGTAGGCGGGAAACCGGCCTCGAAGCCCAGACGGTGTGACTCCGGCGCTTCTCTGCCTATCGGGAAGGCACCTGCCATCCATTGCAATGTCATCAGCCATGGGATTGGAACCTGGCGTCACACCCACAGCCGCCCGCTCACACTCACAGGCATCTTGCACACGGGAAGACTGCACCGCCAAAACCCGGCCTCAGGGGGCCATCTGCAGGGCGGATGACAAAGGTCCCCACCTCGGTTTCTCCTCTCGCCCCGGGAAAGAGGGCCCCGTGCGTGCTCACAAACACAGACATCGACTTGCCGTGGTAGCTCATCTCCTGCGATTCCAAATCCTTCTCACGGCTGGCTGAGAGAGGAAGGAGCAGCCACCGTCCCGTGTAGGGGACTGACATAATATTTTTCTAGTTTAAGAATTAAAGTTAGTGAGTAATGTACGTGTTCTGCCCAGAGCGTTTGAAAGTAATCTGTTCGGGACAGGCTCCCTGTGATAAACAAAGGTGTTGCCTAGAGGCATAACTAAGGACCTGAGCCGCAACTAGCAAGAGCAGCCCCACCCCACAGCATTGGGGGTCTGGAGGCCACACGATAAACATATTGTTCCTGTGATTGCCGAGTACACCCCAGAAGATGGCTGGTTAGTCAATGACAGGTAAGACCCCTCGAGGGAGGGGCGACCCAAGCCAGGCACAGTCGCCAGGGTTCAGCTGAAGATCTTAGGGGGGTCACCCTAAGAGAAGCTGGGGATGAGAAATGCCTCCTTTGGCTCACCTTGCCCATTCTTGCTAATCTAGGACCTTTATCTATGCCTGGTGCCTAGAGCAACCACCTTGAGATTCTGAGTCAGGGGACGTCTGCTTCCCTAAGGCTATTCCGGAATTTATGGCCATTGCTGCAATGCCTGGGCGGTTACGTACAAAGAACTAACTTTAATTTTTTAGAGTATAAAAATAAAACTGACCCGGTGCATTATGACTCTGAGTCAACCATTTGTACGTGTGTCTGCGTTTTTCTTTGTGTTCTGCGAGTTTGTGTTTTATGTTCTGTGTTCATCCTCCGTCCTGCAAAGGGGCCACGACAGTCCCATCTGCCTTCCAGTGCTTCTGCTTGAGGACTCCTCACACACGGTCCACGGCGGGCAGGCCACGGTGAGCTCCGCAGTCCTGGGCAGTGGGGGCCGAGTGGGGAGCACAGAGTCCCCCCAAAGACAAAGGATCAAATCCAAGAGTCCATTGTGAATATAGGCATATATGTTAAGCCCACATACCACCACCAGATAACGATGATGATGATGATGATGATGATGATGATGCCTGACTGTAAAACTGAGCCGGGAGGAAGAATTATCCGGATGTCTGTGGTGGTCACCCCCACAGCCCTCTGAGCTCATCAGTATTGACTCGGACTGCCCGAGGTTTGGAACGCCTCGCTTTAGGTCTGCAAAGACACACGAGGCTCATCATTGTCACCTAGGGATGTGTCCCCCTGCACGGATGAGCCAGTGGCATGCAGGAGGGCATGTGATAGGAAGCCCGTCCACCAGGGAAGAATTATCTTTTACTGGCAATCTGCGAGCACCCCTGGAAAAACGCTCTTCTGTGATCAAATTATGAACGCTCTCACGTCAAACAAAGATTTCTCGTCTACATCCTGGGCGGATATTGGATGTCATTTTCTTTCTTTCTTTCTTTTTTTTTTTTTTCCTGCTTGGCATTTTGATATAAGTAAACAATAATCTCCAAATAATTCCATGTTTACATACGGCAGGTGACAAGTGACGTATGTGGA